CCGACATCGGATACTTCCACTAGTCATAAATAAATAGAACGAACGTCATCAAACTCGCTAGACTACAAGAGAAGAATCTTCACTAACTATAATTTGATGCAGCAAGTTAACTTCCAAAACGTTGTTTAAATATTTGTATTATCTACCTGTCTCTACACTGAGGGCCCAAAAAAGATGGTCGTTTTTGTTTTGTTCAATATTGTTAAAGTATGACTCATTTCTTTCTTTCTCGTTCTTTGATTTTTAGTGACATATACAGAATTATCAAAAAAGGCAGATTTCAATAAAAAAACTTGCAGGCTTTGGTGGAACCGAAAGATTTACTGTTGTAACAGTTTTTTTATTGAAATTTGTCTTTTTTGATAATTGCGTATATGTAACTTTTCGTCCTGAGTTTTCAATTTGCATACCTGTTGTAATTATTTTCATTCGTTGGTCAGGCTTTAGATTTGTAGATTTCGGCATTTTGATGAGTTAAGATAATCTAGCAATTGATTATGGGTTTAGAGTTCAGAATCAGAATAAAAAACTTCAGAAGTATTTGTTGACGGGTGAAAAATGACTCTTTTATATTCAAAAAGTGAAGAAACCTGAAGAAGATAGAAAGGGAAGAATACATATATGTGTATATCGTATGTTCTATATGATATCAAAGAAGGAGAAAGACAGAAATGAATTATACTGTAACAATATTGAACAAAGCAATAGTAGTAACAATAGCAGTCAACTACCGGCTAATTACAAGTTGACAGCCAGTGTACTGGCTGTTTTTAGACCGTTCAGACAGTTTTTAGGTGGTTTTTTGATGGTGTGTATGGTATGGTTTTACCACTGTAAACAGGTGGTTTTCCAACTGCTTAAAAATTGCCAGCAAACCGCTTTCTCATATATCGAATTTCCATGAGAAGCTTGACCGTTAAAAGACGGTTTACTCTCTGTAAATAGACAGTTTCAACTACCAGTTTACGGTGGTAAAGCCGTCTACATAAAATAGACGGTTTTTAGGACGTTTTTAGACAATTAACAGGTTGTCAGCTGGCAGTTTTTAGGAAAACGGTTGTTTCTATCCAGCAATCCGAGATTTTGAAGAATTCTTCAATTAACTTGGCTTCAGCAGAAAGGGATCTCGAATCGCGTGGTTAGCCTACAAATAACTGAAAAATAAAAAAAACGATTTTGTACTTCGGGTAGTGCCTACATCTTTTTTTCTTACTTTATTTAAAAAGTCCATGTATTTGTATGGACTTGTTTTAAATAGGAACAGAAAATGCACGTCGTGTTCTTATCTGGAACGGGGAAAAATTAGAACACGAATATACTCGCAATAATAAGTACCACCATAAGTACGCGTAAAAGTAATCTTTTCCGCGAAAAGTTATATGGTTCGATTCAGCAGACTCTTCTTAGTATTTCTATATAAAATTTTGAAGATTTCATTGAACTTTGTAAACAAAAAAGACTTGTTTCTTCAACTTGATTGAAAATCTCCAGTATATTTGTATAGACGTGCTCTATTTAGGAGCAGACAGAAAAGAAAAGAAATTCATAGTAACTTTCACTTTTGTCTTCAAATGTCAATTTAGAAAAATTCCATGTTTTAATCATACATGCAGCTTTTGGTGACACGTCGAATGGCGAAAGAATTAGCTCGCTAAGTCTTTTCGTTTTCGAAAAGTTCTAATTTAGTGTGTCAAAATTTTGACGCCGTTACGCTTGGACAGGCCGCAGGATATTCTATTCTTGTTGAAGTGGTTTCTGCTTATCGAATGTTTGTGATTAGATATCTATATGATTTTTATTCTTGTAAATTGCAGAATATTTTATTGTGTTAATGTTATGTTTTTGTGACGTTGTCAATACGTTAGTGTTGTCGTCTTGTTTTCTTTTTTTTCGGCGGTGGAATCAAGTCCGAGAACTAAGGGAAAAACTAGTTTTTAGGTTTTCATAAAATGAAAGGAATACTTACTGAGCAAGAATCATCAGATCCCAGATCTACTTTTTTAAGTATGTCTTCAGCTACTTGAAATCTATACAGGTGAATTTTATCATCGGGCATGTGAATAAACTTTTGATTGTTGACATATGCTTTAGTTTGAATAAGAAGATGAACTCTACAAGAATGAAGGTCACCTTGCGTCAGGTTGATATCATTGTTTGGTGTCGCTAATTGCCATGTATTTTGAAAGTCAATATCCGATCGATTTCTCAAATAATATTGCATATCTTAAACATCGAGTAGATGTATGATGTTTTGAGATCGAGGCACATACTGCGTGGGCAAGGAATCAATTGTATTATCGTCTTTCGCTTGAGATCTAATATCAGCATATACCAGTGATGTTTTTGATGTATCAGGCAAAGTATGATGTCATAATCAAGCCATGTATTTGTAATGCGGTGTAGTCGTTTATCAAGTATTTCCGATACTATATAACTTTGCACAGTTAGTACACGATTATTTTCTGGAACTGTAGATGCAGTAATGAATGAATGACTATTGATTGTTAAATCGTTCAAATGGTCTTCTTTGTTGGTTTTAAATCATTTTGAATCAGAGACGATTTTGTGACCCATGGCGAATTAAAAACAGTATGTGCGGTTTCGTAACCAAATACTGTCCATTTCTATACAAGTCCAGTTTGTTATGTTGTCAGCGCAGGTAATATTTCAGATTGACCACTTAATTTGTTATAAGATGAATAGCTATGTCCAGTTTTTCTTAGATAAATAATATCGTCTTCTTCTAGTACTATTAATACAATATATTCGAATGTTGGATGGTAAAGAGATGGTCGAATAAGAAGTTGATCTACGTCGTCAATTAAATTTACGCAGTCGGAATCGTTATTTGCAGTTTTCAGCAAAAGAACTAGTGGGTATCGTACAAGACAAAATTCGTTAATCCTAATTATTGACAAGATGAGCATTTGATCTCATTGAACAGGAAACTATTCATTATAAAATTAATACATGTTCAGTTAATTATAATAGCACAACTTGAAGTTAGAAATTGAGATCTAGTCGTTTGATCTGTTATTTAAACTAAATCTTGATAGTTCTTTTAAAGGTAAAAAAGGAACGTGTAAAATGATATTGCACTATAGTTATGTCAATATAACCCATATCGAACCAAGATTTATTAAAAGCTATGAAAACAAGATGTGTAAAATAGTTGTGTTTATCTATTTAAACTGTTTTAAATGATTGGAGTTCGGTATATTTGCAATCAACAGACGCTTTGTGTTTTTTTCCGACTTATATTCTGCTGTTTAAGCATTGAAAGGTGGCAACACTGACCGGAGCTGTCCAGTTATATCTCTGCCCTACCGTGGTAACGTCACTAGTAAATCTTATTATTGATAAAATACGAAAAATAAGAGAAATATTTTTATATTTGTTTGCTTGCTCTTTCTCTTTTTTTCTACTACTTCATCTCGAAATCTCTTTCGTGTTGGGGTTTTCACGTTTATTCTGACTGGTTGATTTCTTCTGCATTTATAAATGTAGTATTATATCAACTGAATGCGTTCATTGTTCAGTCTTTATATGATTATGTGATTTGTATAATAAATTTGATAAAAACGAAACAGCGTGATTCAATGTTCTAAATTCTGCTCTGCTTACTTTACACAGTAAAGTAAATGCTGGTTTAGTTTAAAACATAGCATGTTTAAATGTACTCATATCTAAGTTTTCCTACACGAAATTCTCCTGAGATTACTAAATGTATTCTCAGTTTTATTATCTTCTCAACGTATGCTTTTGGTCTGTGGCGTCCGAAACATTGAGATTCGACTTATTAGCGAAGTAAATATTTGGTTTCCTCAAAGGAATATTAAATGATTTTTTGTATCTATTTCTCAATGACTTGGCTAATTTTATGATTTTCAAATAAGGATATTTATACACTGTGCAAAATAAAGTAGACAGAAAGTTGCAGCCCACAATAGAAATATTGTGCTCTTGAAAGTAATTGTATTTGTCAAAAGGGTATTTATTATGCCACAGAACATAAATACGGTAAATCTAGTAGATATAATTTATGAATACGATTACTTGACCTTATATGAATATACTCTTATGTGTTTGCGAACAGAAAGAAAGCTATTTCTATTAACGACAAATATTTTCTTAGAGCCTCTTGCAACAAATTTGTTTCCAAAGCTGACTCGTTGATTTTGAAACTGAATTTAAAAAAATAAAAAGGGAAGTTGTTTTAAAACTTAAATAGATCAGTTTTAATATATATATCAATAAGTTATCTTTGGTAGTAATTGGTAGGAGAAGAATAGATGCTGATTGTTCAGTTATAGCGTCATTAATTGAATAAAGCATATCTGTTAATAGTACTTTAGCCCTCTTTTCTTCCAAGAAAAAAGAAACCTCGCTCTCGTGACGCGGGAGCGTACAAGGCATCAGTCAAGATTCCAGGATATTTTTCGAACTTATCAAATGTTCCAAGTAGCTTCCACAGCTTGAAGTCTCTTCTTGTTGAAGTTCTCGAAGCTTTTCGACATCTTGCAGATCCTTAACATCAATGCAAACTTCATACATTAAGCCCCCCCCGCCCTCGGCGGCTGCTCATGTAGGTCCTTCTCTACGAACTTGCGCAAAGTAAATCCCAGATGATGGTCCCAGCACAACACATTATTATTATTATACCACAATCAAAATAGGAACTCATTTTTACAATGTCAAAATATTCACAATAATATGATTAATAGTTTTAGTCTTCTTTTTTTATAATAAGAATGGTGATGTTGTTCTCCTTCCTAGTGTGTAAGGTGATGTTGAATGAATTAAATCGAAGTCGATGTTTTCAATAGGAGGAGGAGTAAAAGAAATTTGCAAACGAAATGAAAATGGACTAACTTAAATTAAGTTAAAGAAAACCGATTCGTACTAAATAATATGATAATTGAAAATAAATTTCTTCTTCTTTTATTTGAATGATAAAAGAAGAAGACTAAAAACTTGAATGAAAGGAAAACCGAGAACTCTACTTTTTGAAAAGTAAAGTGAAAAGAAGATACATTTCAATGTTTTGAGAAAAAGTAACAAAAGTCATATTTCCGAACAAAATTAGGTCCGATTAAACTCATTTTTCGTGTAACGCGCGGAAACGAAAATTAATTCTTTATGAGTAGATTTCTTAGAAGAACTTTCTCTATTTCTTCACACATTCCGCCAAACAAAGTTTTTATCTTTCTCCACTCGAAAGGAAAAGGAGAGAACAAATTTAGTAACGACAAAGCAGCCGTTACAAGAATCGCCCTTCCCCAGCAGATTCATCCTCGAATCAAGAAACAAGAGAGTAGCATATGTTGGAGTAAAGGTAATCTCGCCAACCGCCTTTGAAAACTTGTTCTTAAAGAGAGAAAACACATAGTAGTACACCCGCCCATGGGCAAAAAAAACTTTAATTTACGGAAACTTTACGTGTGTTTACGTGTAAAAGTTTCGTTTACGGACTGTTACACGTAAAGTATGGCATTTTTACGAAACTTACGAAGAATTACGTATCATGTCCGTTGAAACTTTACGTTTGTTTACACGTAAATTTATTTTACAACGTTTCACACGTAAACATTCGTGAGAAAAAGTTTACGCGTAAACACGCGCAATGTTTTAACGAAATTGCACGCGTAAACTGTCATACAACACACTCACACGTAATCACACATAATTTTTACGAAATTTTACGTGTAAACTGTTGTGAATATATGTAGCAGCAAAAACATGTGCGCTTTGTATATACGTTTAACAATTATTGTGTATTTTGTCGTGAAACGAACGAATGAGTATATTTTGACATATATACCAAAAATATTTTGAAAAATAGTTGAAAAATATTTAATATTTGTCGATGCAAATCGTTGAACATTATTTTGTTCTCGTTGATTGTTCACTGTCGTTGGTTTTTTAAGTTTTGTTGATGTTGCATCATCTTCTTGTCCTTTTATCGATAATCGTTGTGATGTGAATAATGTGAAAAGCAGTTTTTTCAAACGGCGATCGAAATCATTCTCGTATAGCAACATCTGAGCAATTTGTAATAGTTCTAATGTATTTCTAATTTCTTGACCAAAATTTTTCGTTCCCATCACGCTTGATGTTATAATGCCTAAATGTAAATTGTGAACCACTTGATTAAAGAGAGTTTCAGGAGACAAACTGTGATCATACCTAAAAGTGATTCAAAACTAAACGTTGAATAACATGATAATAGACCGTTGTCAGCGACGGAAAGTGAAGTGTGCGATATCTGATGAACATTTTGAACATGATGGCGAGCAGTGTAAAGTTTTGGGAATTGTATAATGAATTTTTCAGCCATTAATTTAATTTGAGCTGGATATTCCTACGGCATTCAAAAATTAGATCAAAATGACAATTGCTAACACATACTTACTTTATATGTTCTACGTGCTTCAGCTAAATGTGCTATTCCAACTAATAAAAGCAAATGTTCATAGTATGGTGCCACCAACAGATGTTCAAATATCACAAAACCGAACAATAACATCGTTCTTAATTCATTTGCTTTGAATTTTCGCCATTTGTCTAATGCTCTGGGTATACGGTATGTCGTTGATGGAAATTTTACTTGTTTTAAACGTTCTGCTAATAATTGCGTATGTTCATAACATGAATAATCTTCTGCACGATTTTTTTTATCAAAATATAAACTCAATAAACGTTTCTAGAATAAGCAAAAGCAAATAAGGTGAAGAAAAGTGAAACTGAAGTTATACCTACAAAACATCCCTGGTATAAAGTGTGTAAACTGTCGAACACACATGATAAGCCAATTTTGAAATATTGGAGTTGACGAAGGTGGCAATAACTCAGATAACCTCTCAATTTACGTGCGAAGATTGTCTTTTTGTTGATTGTATTTAATGATGATGGATCAGTTGATTCTATATATTGTATAGCCATGTCATATCGTTCATTTGTTCGTAATGGTGCTTGTTGTTGGCCAGGTATGAACACACGAATTCTGTTTGTTTTAGTTTTATTTGTCCGTACAGTTGCACCTATGCACAGAACACGGAAAAGCATTTAGAAACTGTAAACTTCTGAGTTGCTTACCTTCTTCTTCACAAAATTGGCACCCATATGCTGCATTTGGTTCCGGTAAATTCTGAACTAGCGATCGATATTGCTGGTTTATCACACGATGCCAAAATTAAAAAAACTTTTAATCGAGTCATTTTGGTGGTCGTTCTTGCGTTATCATCATTACCATGCTTTAATGTATATGTAATGTTTTGTTCTAATAATTCTAGTTGTTCATACATACATCGTAACATCTCTGACATTTGTTTTCGGTTTGGTTTTCGTGCTCCAGGATAGATGCCACCAATAATACAACTGGACATTAAATATCGCTGTTGTCTTTTAATTTCATTAATAATGAACATTATAACCCATATACTTGTTTCACCAGCAGTATCAATTGCGATGCCATCAACATTCATCGTTAGTGTAATAAAGCGACCACGTTCATTATTCGATATACGTTTATAACATGGTGAATTGATAATATCAGATACGGGAACATCATCATTAAGATGCGTAGTAAATTGAACTTCTTGCCGTGGTAATATTTGCATTATTTGATGCTTAATGTCAAATTCCAAGAAGCCAATTGGTTGCTGCTCATCATAGGCGATTGATTGTTGACAATTTTCATCTTGACAATGATTTATTGAACGCGATATGTTTCCACATTGTGGGCAAAATGTGCATGATGTGGTTGTTGTGATTAGTTCATCAAATGTTGAATTTGATTCTTGTTGTTCTTGTCGTTTCTTCTTTTCAGCTGTTCTCAGTTTATATACGATCGCTTGATAACTGCTGGGAACGTTTTGTACTTGGCAGCGTTTTAACAACCACAGTACATATTGAATTGCTGCACGGCTGACATTAAATTTTGTTTTAAAGTAAACCATGCCGACTGCAATTTCCATTTCTGTTAACGGTCGGTCATCATCTTTATCTTCTTGTATATTACTAAAACAGCAGCGAAAAGAAAAAAATTAAAGAATATCCAAGAAACTGGCAAAACAAAACACTTACCGATTATATTTTTGTTCAAAATTGCTCAATTCTTCATTATTATGGCAAATATCCATCCATTCATCTGCATTTGATGCATCTAAAATAACAAGAGTTAGCTACAGTATCCGCTTCCTTGTTTCGCGTACTAACGGTCATTGGTTGTGAATTATTTTTACCTCGAACTACATCGTTGTCGTCTGTTTTCCTTGTCGATTTATGTGATCCGTACAAGACAATTGTTTGACGATGACTTCTAAAATCAACGGCTAAACCTTGTTCACGACGTCGGTGATGCCTTCTTCTTGTCCGTTCATTCACTCCCAATTGTTGTGTACAGTAACGTACGCGAAAATCATTGGGTAGACCTTGTGCAAGACGTCTTCGATGTCTTCTTTCTGTACTTGCAGAAACGTTTGACGACATTGTTAAACATTCAAAGTAGATATAAGAATCCTAAAACAGTAATAGATCTAGAACTTGTCACTGTTTTAGACGTGTTTAGCAAACAACTTCTCTATGCAATTGGCTCTCATACCCACAAAGAGGCGTTTCAACATCTGTTTTCGCTTATTATTCACTTGCTAGCTTCTCTTCAGCATCGCTTATATTATTGTATAGTTAAAACAATAAACAATCATAAGAATATGGCTATTTGACTAGAACAGTAGAAGAAACTTCGTAGATATGCATGCACAAAACAAAATAAACACAAAATAAAAAAAAATATTGTTTCCTATGTTTCATCATCATCGTTTTCTTATTCATCGTACGATTTGATTGCAATATGTTTTGCCTCTTCTATACTACTGCTGCTGCTGAACGTTTTCTTTCTTGAGATTGCACATAACGGTAGCAAGCATTCAGTGCTTCATTTGTACCACTTAATTGTATCACATCTCTTGGGTGATATTGTTGAACAATTTCTAAAGCAAAGGGAAAAACGACATTCAGTATTACAAAAATAGATAAACAGTGATCAATCATTCATTTACCAAATATTGCATTTCGTATTTCATCACTTATTGATTGATTTGACATTGTTATACAATCTTCGTAAGAAAATAATTTCCAAAACATATGTTTGGCTGTCTTTGACCATTCTGTGCCTTGAAGTGATTTTAATTGATCACCAGTAATACCAATTATCTTCAAATGTTTTTCTTCGGCTCTTGCTCTTTCGGCTTGCAGTTCTGGTTTTGGTTCGCAACATGTAATAACCTGAGCAAAGTAATGTAACGTTTCAGCCGTTGGTCTAGCTAAAATTAAAGGGGATTTATAGTAAGTAGTAGTGCATATTAAGGAAAACTTACGAACTGATGTTTCTTGTAAATGAATATGGTCTTTTAACAGTTGCTCATATTTTTCTCTGAGTGAATGTAATTCTTTTTCAAGTCGACGATACTTTGTTTCGTTAGATAAATTAGATAAAAGTAATTCTTGCGACGTAGTTAGACGAGTTGATGTCGACTGTTTAGATGAACCATGACGACCTGTACTTGCTGATTGTATTCGTGAACGACTTGGTTTTGGTGTGACAAAAACTAAAACAAAGAGAAATAAACAAATATATACTTCTATTTCAGTAATAATTTACCTGGTGATTGTATACGTGGACGTAACGTTTCATCATTATCAGTTATAATGACATTTTCAGAATAATCACCACTGAAGTTCTCTTTTTGACTGGATGGCATACTTTGTTGTTTAACTCCCATGACATTATGAGAAGTCGTTGCCGTCTGTTTCAATTGTTCTAATTCAGCTCTACATTCCTGTAATGCCATCTGCTGCTCTGCTATGTACAACAGAAGAAGAAGGTTTATGATCCTTACAAAAATAAAAATTTACCATCTTGTTGTAAAAGCTCTTGTAATGATAATAATGTTTTTCCAGCACCAGTAACAGAAGGTCCATTCGCACTTGCATCTTTTCGTAGTACTTGGCCTAAATGTAAATGAAAAAAAAGCTTTGTTATTTACTTTGATTGTTTCTAACTTACTGTGTTTAACAAATGATGATTCAAATTGTTTTGACTGCAAGACTGGCGATAGCTTTAGCTGTATTTTTGTTCGTGTATATTCTTCTTGGAAATCGACAGCAACTTGACAAGGCTGTACATCTGAAGTAGAAGAACGGAAGCAAGATAAAGACATGTTTTAAAAAACTAAAAAAGATTCACCATAAAGATTTGCTATACTTGGTTCAGATGCAAATCTCGCAAGTAAATTTAGCTTATCGCGTTCGGCGGCACACTGAATTAGCGTACCTGTAAATATACAAGCAATAACAGTTAGACAAAACAAAGACTCTTATTCTTACTCACCAGCCACCAATAAATCTCCCCTTTTTATTCCTTGTTCATCATGAAATGAGTAATTTCCCCCCACACGCAGTTTCCCATCTTTTACTGCCGACCCAAAACTTGATTTTTCAACTACCTCCAAAAATGGCTCCTTTTCATCCGCTCCACGCATGAGATAAAACTGCTCTTGTTTCCGCTGCTTTCGCGTTGGTCTGCATGACTGATATACTGACGACGACGATAAGCCACTTTCAGAATCATCTTGGCTGACTTGACGTACGATAGTACGATGACGTTGGCTACTTTTTCGACTGTTTAACATGTTTTTATATTATTATAAATGATAATATACACGACTATAGTAGAAAATACACGAACAAACAGGCTTTGCAAGAGGTGTGCTTATACATCTAAACTTCTACAATCTAAAATAAAGCAGAGACAAGAAGCATTTCGAATAAGAGCGCATAGATCATTTGCACTTCTTGAGAGAAATTTTTGGTTTTCAACACTTATCTTGTTATTTTGAATTTGAAAATATACACCATTTATTTTTACATCAGACTCTTCTTACTAAACATAGGACGCAAAAGAAAAACATTTAGTTAACAAACGAAAAAGAATAATACAAGTACGTCGTTGTGACATCTTTCT